ATTTCGCTGGCCCTTATAGGGTGTTCTTCACTTGTTCATATTAAGAATTTGAATCTCTCAGTATGAAAAAATAGGAATTAGTTTACTAATTCTGATATATTCAAATAGAGGAATACTCTGCAGCCTTTGAAAGATTGTGTGATGAACATCACCCAACTAAGGGAAATGTTTACATTTCTGAACAAAAAGGACAGACTGCTGCATTGTATATGCAACAACTTTTTTTTTTACTACATCTTTGCAAGCTTAGGGGAAAAAACTGGATAGCTTTTGTTTAGTAATAATAGTGATTAATAGATATAATTTCCTGTAGTACAGATTTTCTGAACCCTTATTATAATATTGTGCTAGACCTGAGGGAAATGCAAAGAGAAAGCTCCATCTGTCTTAACAGAGGTGCTATGATTACTTTTTTTAAAAAATGTATTTAGTACAGGGTCTACAGGGTCTTGCTACACAGACTGGACTCCTAGTGATCTTCCTGTTTTCAGTCTCCCACGCTCTGGGATTATAGGCGGGCACTACCACGCCCAGTCTCAATCACCATCTCAGTGTGCTCCAGGGGTGGGGCCAGCATGGCATATTGGGGATTGAACCCTGGTCCCTGCTCCTACCTAAGTAATTTTTTTTTTTTTAAATTTCGTGTTTGGTACAGGGTGTCACTACGCAGCTCCGACTCATAGTGATCCTCCTGTTTTCAGCCTCTACAGGGCTGGGATTAACAGGTATGTGCCACCATGTTCGGATTTGGTGGTCAGCTCAGTATGCCCTGGGGGCAGGGCTGGCATGGCATGTGGTTCCAAGGATCGAACTGCAGACCCCATGTTTGCCAAGCAGGTGCTTAGTCTGCTGAGCAGTCTCATCGGCCTGAGATGTGCTATGATTAAATGTTTTCTGTGTGTCAGGCCCTGTGCTCAGTGCTCAAGTGCAGAATCTAGTGCTCACCTTCTTGGACCAAGCCATGTGTCTTACTTATATCTTACTCGTGTTGCTGGGACAAATACCCGACACTCAAAATGAAGGAAGGAAAGGTTTATTTAGCTCACAGTTTGTGGAGGTTTCCGTTCATGCTCCGCTGGCTACCAGGTAAATGACAGCAGTTCCTTTTGGCAGCAAACAGTGAAGAGCAGAGGAGCAGCAGCACCTGCAGCATCCCTCAAACCTCTCTCTTCCTTCTACACTGACTGAAGACGGGCACTTCCACTGAAGATTGGAGCTCCTCTGAAGCCTGGGACTTCTCCATGGAAGTGGGACAGGGCGGCCAGAAATCCTTCCTTAACTTCTTTACATATACTTTTTGTGTTGAGTCACTCTGGGGTGGCCCATGGCCTTAGAGTGGAACCAATGGCACCCCAGGTTGGGCCTTGCCTGCCTGCAGGGTCGGGGAGGTCCCCATGCCTGGAATTGCTGGTGCTGATTCAGCCAAGTTGACATAATTTATCAACTACCACACCATGCATAGACAAAACATGATACATGACTCATCCAGGGACCAATGAAAGACACAGATTAAAAGCACTGACAAGGTTCTGAGCAAGTTAGTTGAGAAAAATGATGGAATTTGTTCTGCATTCCACAAAAGGAATGTGGGTTGATGGAAAGGAAAGATTGACCAGAGGAACTGGCAGGTAAAAAGAGATGAGGAACTTTGTGTACTATGTAGCTAGAATACAACTTCCTATTTAGAGCTTCCTAACCTGGGGCTAGGTTTTAGGGTGATTCTGTGAAACTTGAAACTATTAATAAAATACTCTATGTATGGGATATGCTCAAAATATACAGTGAATATTTAAATGTTATCATAGGAAAAGACACATTGCCAGTAATCATCCTCAGAATCCTTCCCCTCCATTGAGCACACTTGTCCGTCCTTCTTGCCGTCTCACTCTGTGAGGCAGTTCTGGAAGTCTTCTTTCATGACTTTGTGAGGTGTGATGAGGAGTTCTGCAAGTGCTTCCGCCAAGTGCCATGCAGCCAGCGGACACGCAGCCTCATGAGAGCATGGGGTGTCCTCATGTACTTCACCTGACCTGAAACCCAGAGACTTCTACTTCTTCCCCAGGTCAACATGACCATGAAAGATAAGTGTTTTGAGTTGATTCAGACACCCACAGCAGTGCAGCTAATGCCACAACAGTGAACTTCCAGCTCTGCTTCAGAACGTAGCAAGGCTGACGGGAAATATGTGTCCAAAGCAAGAGTGGGCATTTTGAGGGAATTCGTGGGCGTGTGTCCTTCATCAGAATAAATTCACTTTTAAGAAGTGAGCATTCACTTTCATTTTTGATCATATCTCCCATAAATGTGCTTTTTTAGGTAAGAGTTCATAACTTTCATCATCAGATTTGCAAACAGGATTTTGCTTCCAGAAAAGATGAGAACCACAGAACTAGAATAACGGGTCTGTCGGAGGCAAGTTTGGTGGGAGGCTGGAGTAATTTAAAAGTTGCAGGAGGAAAAAGAGAGCGTCAGAGCATAATTTGTAGCAGCAGTTGTTGAACAGTTTAATGTTTTATATGTTGTCATAGTCTGCCTAAAGAGATCTTCCAGGTTACTTGGTTCCCTGTCCCACCCTCATTTTTGTCCTAATTTGGAAATACTTCTTTGGGAATTCATCAAAGGTCTATAAGTCATGATCTTCTGCCCCTCACCCATTTTCATGACATTGCTAGAAAGTAGTTTCTAGAGGTATTATGTTTATAGAAAACAGTAAAAATATACCATTCTTTCTTACAGGAGCTTTCTTTATTTGCCACTGGGCAGAATCTACCTGGAGCAAAAACCAAATTGCATTTAATTTTTTTTTTTTAACATTTTAATTACTTATTTAGGGTCTTGCTACGGAGCTCAGACTTGTGATAATCTTCCAGTGTCAGCTTCTCCAGCTCTGGAATTACAGGTGTGCACCACCATTCCCTGTTTTGATGGCTGGCACAGTGCTCCCAAAGTTCTGAGGCCAGTGCAACATGCAGTACCAGGGATTAAACCTGGGTCCTTGTGCTTGCCAGGCAGGCACTTAGACTGTCAAGCTATCTCCCCAGCCCCAAATGGCATTTAAAAGCAAGATGGAGACCAATGTTTAGGCTGCAAGGAAGAGTTTTTGTAGTACTTCCATTTTGAAAGTTGATAATTTGTTAATTTGAATAAAACTAGTAACCATTTCAGGTAATGCCTGAGCTTTGGTCTCTTCCATAAAGGACAGGCTGTATTCATTCAGAGCTACTGCACCCATCTCAAACCATTGTGCTTGAGCTTCTCTGCAGTCCTAAGAAAAAGATCAGCCTTGACATGGAGGCAGGAGGAGTGTTGGAAATCGGGAGATGCAACTGAATGAAGTGGGTCTTTCTTTTCTTTAAATCTGGCTTGAACCAAGATTGATGGGATAAGTGTGTTCTGAGTAAGTGGAGTATCTAGAGGGGGCTTAATAGCAATATATCTTACTTGAAGTTTTTTTTATTAAAACATGTCATGTATTTTCAGACTCCCAGATTCATAATACTTGAGGTGTTGCGTCTTGAGTATTTTTGGGGAAAAAATTGTTAGAAGCCAAAAATTTAACCCATAGCCAAGTCACTTTCAGCCCCTGGTTCTCTTTCCCATTGCTCCCCTTGAGTCCCCTCTGTGTGGCCATATTTGGCACACTGCTTCCCCTGCCCCCGGCCTCACTTCTCCTGAGGTCTCTGTGACACCAAGCACTCCCGCTTGCCTCATTCCTGAGCAGGCTTGCATTTATTTATTTATTTATTAGATATGGGCTTGAACTCAGGGACTTCACCCTGAGTTACACCTCCAGCTCTCTTCTTTATTTTTTAAATTTTGAGATGACTCTCACTTGCAATCCTGCTTTCTCTGCCTCCTAGAGTGCTGTTATCATACCACCATGCCTGACCTGACATTTCATCTTAATTCCTGTGCAAAGTCTTTCATTTATTCTACCTGTACTTAATTTATTAACTATTAGTTTTTATTTTAATTTTATTTTATTTTATTTTGCGGAACTGGGGATTGAACTCAGGCCCTGGTGCTTGCCAGAGGAGCGCTTATTCCACTGAGCCATCTCCCCAGCCCTATTAGTTTTTAAATGATTTTAAATTCACAGGAAGTTGCAAAAAAATAACGTACAAAGATTACACGTATCTAGTTTCTTCTGTGGTAGCATCTTGCGTGACTGTAGTGCAATATCAAAGGCAGAAAAACACTGATACACTCCACAAAGCTTATTAAAATTTCATCACCTCTTTGTGTGCTTGTGTCTATGTGGCTCTGTTCAACTGTGCATCATAGACTATATGTGTATTTACTTGTTAAAGAAACTTCCAAAGTAGTTGTGCTGTTTTTACCTACAGTGAATTTAAATTTTTATTGTCTCATTTTCAGTGGAAATTATGGGACAGGATGACATCCCTTCTGGCCACCTCTATGTTGTTGGGACTCTAGGAAGTCATTTCCCTAATTTTATTTATTTATTTATTTATTTTTGCAGAACTGGGGTTTGAACTCAGGCCCTTGCACTTGCCAGGGAAGCACTTATTCCACTGAGCCATCTCCCCGGCCCCCTATTTCCCTAATTTTAAAGAAGAAAGAAATTAAGAAAGTGGACTATTAACAATTGAAAGAGTTCAATCCCAGGTACTGCAAAACAAACAAAAAGAAAGTTCTCATGAAAGATTTTGCAATATGATTTTTTTTCATACCTCTTTGTAAATATGTATATTGTCTCTGAGAGGAGGGGCCCTGGCATTTAAGAGTGATGACCAGTGATCATCCTTCCAGTGAGAAGACGCCAGAAACTCAGGACCCCGTGGAGGAACTTCACTCCAGTGCACCATGGAGAATGTAGAGGCTAACTACTGGGATGGAACTAGATTTGAGAAAAGACACAGCCATCTTTCTTTGCTCATGATTCTCATGAATACCCTGTTCATGCTGCATCTGTTTCTTTTCTATGGCCTTTTCAAGTACTGAGCATTACATCTCAGATTTTCTGCTTTGTCTTTCAGGCCAAAGAAGCCCTCAGAAACACTGAAGTTCCTGTTGGCTGCCTTATGGTTTATAACAATGAAGTCGTGGGGAAGGGAAGAAATGAAGTTAATGAAACAAAAAATGTATGGGCGTTGAACCACACGATTGCAAACCCTTGGTAGAGAATGGTGGGGACAGAGTGCACTGAGGGAAGTTAGCAAGATGAGGCTGAATGTGGTGCCATGTTCTTTAATGCTGTTTCGCTCTGATTATAACAGTGAAAGAATAATTTTTTTAGATATGGAAACTTTAGAAAAACTTAATGAACCTGTTGAACTGTAGTGAATAATTCTTTGTAGGATACCTGCTCTTTAGCAGTAAACGCGGTTGACTGAGGTGATACAGTTCTGCAGTTGTTTACTGAGAGCTACCAGAAGATATGATGGAGGAGTTGTGAATCTGAAGCTTAATGGGCAGTCAGCTTAGGGAAACTTTCCTTTTGTAAGCTCTCCAGTGGGTTTCAGTGTGCAGCCAGGCCTGGCACCCCTTCTCTGACACTTCTTCCCTAAGTTTCTAAGTCTGATTTTTGAACCTTCCCACCCCCACCAGCTCTGCTGTCATATGGCTTCTTGGGCCACAGTGGTATCACTTTTTACATCACTCCTTAGATCACATGTGAATCAGTAACCTTAAAATACTGACACCCACTGCCCAAGAGGGCTGAACTTTATTTTGGCTCAGTTTCAATTTCCGTCAGCAGACTCCAGGGCAGAAATGGAGCAGTAGAAGGCCCTGGCAGAGGAAAGCTCTCCCAACTCGTGGCTGTTAGGAAGCAGGAAGAGAAGGGGAGCTGGGGACAGGACTGCAGCTTTCCTGGTTGAGCCATGGGGACCTGTCTTCCAGCCAGGCCCCACCTCCTAACAGCACCATCCCTCATTGAACTCAGCGGACAGCCCCACCGATGAGTACATGAGCCTGTCAGCTTCCAAACACCTGAGGCTTTGGGGGGACATCTTAGATCTAAACCAAAGCAATAGGTAAATCAGAACCTCTCTGTTGACTGCACCAGTTTTTTTCTTTCTTTTTTGTTTGCAGAGGGCAGAAACTTTTCATCCTACCCAGAATTTCTTTAGCACAGTGACTTATATATAATTACTGCTCAGTGTAAATTATTGAGTAATGCCGCTATAATGGGTATTATAAGCAATTGTTGCATAAAAGATGGGACAGGGAGGACAGGTAGCAGCATTGTGTAGCACTGTTTTGCCTAATTCCAGTTGTCTTGAGGTGTAGAGGGGGAAATCCCAGGGCATCTCATTTTGCATATGGGAAAACAAGAGTTCAAAGAGTTAGATAATATGCCCAGCACCTCATAATTATTGTTGTCCCTGTCAGGATTCAAATTTAATTTAATTTATTTATTTATTTAGTAGTACCAGGGATTGAACCCAGGATCTTATGCTTGCCAGGCAGGCCCTTATTCTACTGAGCTGTCTCCCCAGCCCCTTTCTTTGTGTTTTTTTAATTCGTTTGTTTTTTGTGGAGATTCAATTTTTTTTTTTTTGCCGAACCAGGGATTGAACTCAGGCCCTTGCGCTTGCCAGGGAAGTACTTATTCTATTGAGCCATCTCACTGGCCCCTCAGATTTCAGTGTGGTTGATTTCACATGTTGTGTGATTTCTCCCCTGGGGTACTGACTTCCATGAGGTACCCAAGACTAGCACACCAACTCTCTGCTTCTCTAGAGTTTGCCAGCATATAAAAAGCATTCATCCCCCAGTAAACTAAACATAGTTTGCTTAGAGTGAGGTCAGTGACAGCCTTGAAAATATATTTGAAATTAGAGCACAAGCTTATGAAAATTTCAAGCTTCCTCTAAAATATTCAGAAACCCTAGATATCTTCTGTTTTTCAGACTTATCTTCTTTATGGCATTTTAACTGAAAGTTTCCTGTGAACACCTTAGAAACTTAACTAAAAATAGAAGTAGTATTTATACAGTCTTGGAGTGGCAGTCTTCTGTGGGTGAGCTTCTGTGGGTGATACTCGAACTGGGGAGTAGCCTGCCAAGTGACAAGGACCTCCTAAAACCTTATTCATCAAGATGAATATACTTATGCTTGTATATATATATATATTTATGTATGTTTGTAAATATATTATGTTTGTATATTTGTAAAATGTCAGTTATATGAGGCCAACAATCAATGTAAGTGCCTCTCTTTTAAGGCCACTCGACATGCAGAAATGGTGGCCATCGACCAGGTCCTAGACTGGTGTCACCAAAATGACCAGAGTCCTTCCTCAGTCTTTGAGCACACCGTGTTGTATGTCACCGTGGAGCCATGCATTATGTGTGCGGCTGCTCTCCGCCTGATGAGTATCCTTTGACTGTGGACCTTTCCTGCGACCCGGAAACTGGGCAGATGTATAGCATGCTCTCTTTTCTTTTTTTGGCTGTGGTACTGAGTCCAGGGCCTTGCCACACACACTGAGTGCACTCCCCACCACTGAATGACACCCAGCAGTTTTCTACTATATGAAAACAGTCTTAGGAATCACATTATAAAAGAGATCTTGACCAAAAACGGAAAGATTTTACATAATAAAATTGCCATTTCTTCTTAGGTCAATAAGCATGGAATTGTTCAATAAGCTAAGGAAAGAAAAACTTCAAACTAAACTGATATATAAGAGCAAATCATAAAATTAAGTTAAAGTAAAATACAAGAGTAGTTCTCAAAAATATGTACTTAAATTTCGACTTTGGATGATGGTTTATGGGTGATTTAAACTTTTGTGTTTGTTTTTTCTACAAATACCTGTCACAAAGTATTAAAAAATGTAAGTTCACAGTATATACCTTAAAGACATTCGTTATGGTATCATTGTACATAAGTGACAAATTAATGAAGTTAATAGTTCTTCAGATTGTGTCTTACAAAGAATAAGCAACAAAAACCCTGGTTGTACTCTAAAGATGATTTTAAACTCCATATTTGTAACTTAATGCATATTTAAACTATAAATGAACAAATAAAAAAATGATATTTTTGAATATAGTAAAAAGTATGCTCTAGAGTTATTGGCAACCTACAGTTTCCTCCTCCTATCTGTGGGGTTCCTTAGATATGTTCTGTTTTGTACCATAGAACAGGTTACGTTTTAAGTGGGGTGAGAACAGGGAGCAATCTGTTAATTCCAAAAGGTAAAAATCCCCGCTTTTGATTTCTTCCTCCTGTCTGGCTCCCATTCTCTAATGGCTCTGAAAAAGTGATTCAGGAAGATCAGGGGGCTGTGAGCATTAAGTAGTCACACACCCAGCTTTTGTTCTGTGTGCAGCTGTTTGGGGTTAATTTCCAAATACTATAGACCTCTTTCCTTTTGTGTACCTGGACTGTATGATTTTTTTTTTAATTTTTTTTATTTATTACATTTATTTATTGTGTGTGTGTATGTGTGTGTGTGTGTGTGGCCA